TGACCACTGCACAATCTATGCATGTAACAAAATTGCACTTGTACCCCATACAGTTATACAAAAAAGTGTATCATATTTGACAGATTTAAAGGTTAAACAAATTTAACCCGAGAGAAATGAAAACATAAGTCTACACAAAAACTTGTACATGAATATTCAAAGCAGCTTTATCCACAGAAGTCAAAATGTGGAAACGACCCCATGCCCATCGAATGCTGAAGTGATGAATAAAATCTGGTATACACACACCATGGAATATTATTTGACCATAAAAGAGAATTAAGTTCAGATACATGTATTACAACAACTACAACACAGATGAACCTTGGCAAATTATTTTACGTGAAAGAAGCCAAACACAAAAGGCCATTGTCCTGGGTTAAACAGTATTCATGTCCGGCAGACCCTCAGAATGTGACCCTATTTGGAAAAAGGATCCTTGCAGATGTAATCAGTTAAGATGAGATCATACTGGATTAGGGAAGGCCCTAATCTAATGAGTGATGTCCTTATAAGAAGGTCATATAAAGACACCCAGGGGAGACGGTCACGTGAAGATGCAGGCAGAGACTGGAGTGATGCATCTATAAGCCAGGGAACGCCGAGGATTGCTGGCCCTACAGAAACAAGGGGAGAGGCACGGGACAGATTCTCCCTCTGACCCCCTAAGAGGGAACAAACCCTGCTGACCCCTTGATTTCAGACTGGCCTGCAGAATTGTGAGAAATAAATTTCTATTGTTTTAAGCTACTCAGTTTGTGGTAATCTGTTACAGTAGCAATAGGAAGCTAACACAGCCATACACTGTATGATTCCATTTATATGAAATATCTAGAATAGGCAAATCTATAGAGATGGATGTAGTGGTTGACTAGGGCTGTGGGTGGGAGTAAAAGGGAATGATTTGGGTACAAGGTTTCTTTTGGGTATGATGAAAATGTTTTAAAATGAGATTGCAGTGATGGCAGTACAACTCTGAATATATTAACGCTACTGAATTGAACACTTTAAAATGGCGAACTATACTGTATGTGAGTTACTTCTTAATACAGCTGTTTAAAAAAATCAAATACGTTCAATCACTCCTCCAAAGGAACAATTTTTTGAAAAAAAATACTGTATGTGATAATAGAGGCAAGTAGGAGTTCAATATAAGGTAAAAACACATTTCTGCTTTAATATAGAATATAGGGCATTTTGCAACTATTGTTATTTTTGATTGGAAACAATTCTTTCAACTATCCCAGATATTTTACTATCTATGTATGGCAGATATTATTTCAATTCACACAAGCTCTAAAGAGTTCAGTGACTTAAACGTCAATACTGGTAACTTTACGGTTGACAGTGACCTTTCACGTGAAAATACATTTTGGAGATGACATGGACTTATCCATCACCAAGAGAAGACTTTCCTCTGCCTTGGGGCAACTACTTATAATTCCTACTTTGACAGTGTAAGGGGGAAACACAGAAAGTTTCTGGTACTCCTAAATGTAGAAACATGAAATCTGAATAGCACTTTGAGAGAAAAAAGGAAATGATACAGTGTCATCAATGTCCATCATACGTCTTGTCTGCAAGCTGACTGAAGGGAGCCAGAATATGGATTATTTTAAGCTAGAGGCCATTGAGAACCAGCAGACTCAGGAAAAGCTCTAAAATCAGGGCATCAATTTTCCTTTTGTAAAGGACACTTCCATTTGTAGAGGTGTCTCCCTCTCTAGCACCAAGAAGGGGAGTACTGTTAACAACTCTTCAAGGTGGAGAAGTGACAGAAACCTGTGTAACAAACCTCTCTAGACAACTCTTGTTCACCATACTTTTCCTGGTCACCTTACCATAACCTGCCTCCCCATCCAGAAGCTCAAAACCCCTTTTCCTTTTCCTTTTTTTTTTTTTAAACACAGGTCTCACTTTGTTGCCCAGGCACTGGCATGATCATGGCTCACTGCAGCCTCAACCTCCCAGGCTCAAGCCTCATTCTCCTCATTCTCCTGAGTAGCTGGAACTACAGGCGCATGCCACCACACCTGGCTAATGTTTTGTAGAGATGGGGTCTCACTTTGTTGCCCAGGCTGGTCTTGAACTACTGGGCTCAAGGGATCCTCCTGCCTCAGCCTCCCAAAGTGCTGGGATTACAGGTGTGAGCCACCATGCCCAGTCATATGCCCAAGTTATAATCACCACTTTGGGTTATTCATCTCTGGGTGCTCCCATGTGTAAGCAAGACGCATATGCTAATAAAATTCTGTTGCTTTTCTCTTGTTAATCTGTCTTTGGCCAGTCTAATTTACAGGGCAAATAGAGGAAAAGTATTTTTTCTCCCCTACATCAGTATAGCATGTAAGCAGCAGCATCAGAGGGGTGGAGCTGTAGGAAGTGGTTATATGACTCCAGTTCCCACGTATATTTTGCTCTGTAACTCATTCACTTAGAGAAGTGTATCATTAGTAGAAGCTGCCCCTTTTATCCAATAGTATGCACACATTCAAAACAAGAACTTTATATAAATCTATTACCGTCCCCTTGGAACAGAATGAAAATAACTGCAGGGTGAGTGGGACTCAATAGCAAGTGAGAGATAATCAGGTCACTCGGGGATGAGGAGCCCATGCTATCCTTTTCGTCTATGTTCCACTCAGAAGCAATGATGCAGGGGCTTCTGGAATCCCAAAACCTGTTAGAAAGTTCAACGTCTGAAAGGCGAATCACAGGCTTATATGTCTGTTTGTGTCTATACACACACATATACGTAAGTACATGTATGTGTGTTTATATATATATATACACACAGGTAAGCATATGTGTGTGTGTATATATATACACTTATACATATATAATTTTTCTTTCTTTGAGATAGCATCTTGCTCTGTCACCCAGGCTGGACAGCAGTGGTACAATCCTGCCTCACTGCAGCCTTGACCTCCCAGGATCAAGTGATCCGCCCACCTCAGCCCCCTCAAGTAGCCAAGACCACAGGTGTGCGCCACTACACCTGGATAATTTTTTAAATTTTTTGTAGAGATGGGGTCTGGCTATGTTGCCCAGGCTGATCTCAAACACCTGGGCTCAAGTGATCCTCCCACCTCAGCCTCCCAAGGTGTTGGGATTACAGGCATGAGTCACTGAGCCTGGCAAGGGTTACATATTTTTATGAATTATTTTATTCTCAGGGAACTTAAAAATATAATAAAACCACTAAGAATTGGTCCTGCTAATACTGTCTTCTTAAGCTGGAGGCCAGCAGGCAGCCTGTTGGCCTCACAGGTATACAGACCAAGGGAACAGTTGTTTGCCAATTTTAGTGGAAAAATAAGTTATTCCAGGAATCTTTCTGATTCTACTAAAGCACAGCTCCTAAAGTTGGATATAGTAAGGAAGATTCTAATCTTTAAATCTCTCACCATAAGTTCTTAGGCAGGGGTGAGAAGGGCCTGACTGGAGAGGAAGTAAGTCTTAAGCTAGGAGATGACATTTATAAAAGGACAATCATGTTTTAAGATAGAATTAAAAAAAAAAAAATCTAACATAATGAAGAACTCAGGATAGAAAAAGTAAAAGAAAGTTGGGAGGGTCAAAAGCAAAATAAAAGCCACTCCAATAAATATAATCAGTGAGAAAAAACTGAGTTATAATTCAACTTTTCTTTTTCTTTTCTGCACCTTCCGCTAACCTGCACCATTTCCCCTGAAACTCTGACCATTAGATTTCTTTCCTTGGGAGTGGATATGATATATGTGTTATCTGTATTGTATAGGACAGATTTCAAATATTATTTTACTTATTAGTCCAATAACCAGGTCTAAGATCATACATATAATACTTATTAAACTTTATTGGAGTTATTTGTGTAGCTATTTCTCTGCCTTTCTATTTAGATTATGATTACCTTGAAGGCAGACAGTGTAATTTGCCATACACATTCCTCCATGCAATTACTGTGCTTGGTTTATGACTAAAAGCACTCAGTAACTATCTGCAGAGTTAATCTGAATCTAGATCCAGTGAAGACCAAAACATGGACCTCTGTTTAAAAAGGACTAATTCAATGATGGTTTTGGAAAACACATCGAGTGCTATTTGCTAACAGAACACTGGTTTTCCTGGAAGCAATGTGCTGGGCTAAAAACTCTATTTTCCAAACTCCTCTGCTGCTTCAGGTAGCCATTAAACACAGTTCTGGCCAAGGAGATGTAGGTAAACATTACTGGGTGGGGCTTCCAAGAAAACTGTTGCTCTCCTGATAAAAGAAGGTACAAATTCAGCTGACAGAAGCCTGTGGTTTTTTGCCCTTCCTCCTTTTTCCTTCTTCGGGTTTGTACCACAGATACGGATACGATGTTTGGAATGGTATAGCCATCTTGAGATCACGAGGATGACATGAACACACATTAAAGTTAGTAGAGCTGTGTGCATTTCTGAGGTGTTGTACCAGCCTCTGGACTTCTTGTTAAATGAGAAAAATTAACTCATGTCATTGTCACTGTAGCTGGTTTCTGTTGCTTAGAGCAGAATGCAATCTCTGGCTTTGAAATAATTAGTTGAGGCTGGGCACAGTGGCTCACACCTGTAATCCCAGCACCTTTGGAGGCTGAGGTGGGCAGATCACCTGAGGTCAGGAGTTTGAGACCAGCCTGGCCAACGTGGTAAAACCCTGTCTCTACTAAAAACACAAAAATTAGCTGAGTGTGGTGGCGCACACCTATAATCCCAGCTATTTGGGAGGCTGAGGCAGGAGAATCACTTGAACCCAGGAGATGGAGGTTGAAGTGAGCCAAGATCGTGCCACTACATTCCAGCCTGGGTGACAGAGTGAGACTCCATCTCAAAAAAAAAGGAAATAATTAGTTGAAAGATTGATGAAATAAGTGGATTTGAGTTTAGCATTCTCCCCAGTAAGTCCTCACTCTTAACAGTAAAGGAGAAATGGAAAAGAATATGGATGGCAAATTATGAGGAAAGGACAGTACCATCACATGACAGGTGAGCAAAGAAAATGGTGATAGCCACAGTATCAGCCTCATTTCCTTTCAAATTGTTTTCCAGTGGTTAATGCCAGTCATTAAACTCAACATTCATCTAATGCATATCATTCCCAATCTCATTTCCATTTCAACCACTGTGGTAGAACAATAGAGTACACACTGACATTTCTGAAAATGTTAGTGTATACTTTAAAATGTTACTGTATACTTTATTGTTCTGGGGATCTTAATATATGTTAAACCTAGAATTCTGTCATCAAATAAGTTTGGGGAATGACAAGCCAAAGTTTTATAGGATTTATTATTGCAGGACGTCTCTGAGCTTTTAGCACTGTGAATCTCCAAAGAAAGGTTTTATAATTATTCTTTCTCAAAATAACTTGTCCAAGGATTCGCTTCTTTCCAAGCCATTTGAGGAACTAGTGTTTGACAAAAATGCTTTAGGAAACCTTGGGTAACCCTATCAAATTCTTCCAACGATGCGGCTACTGTGTCCCAAGGAGCAGAGTTTTGCTGTCCTTTATGGGTTTCTCATATTAAATGCAAATACGTCTATCCAGGTTTTTAATTCACATGTATGGACTCCGTAATATACAAGTCATAAATTAAGAAGGACACCCACCCTTGAGTAATGGACAGAAGTAAGCCATTTTATTTTTCTCCCTCGATACAAATTCATGTTTTGTTATTCAGGCAATACCTCTTTAGAGTGAGGCTTCTGTAAGAGAATGAACAAGAATCATGGAAAGTACTCAAGAAGAAAAAAAGGAAGACTGAGTGTATTAGTCCATTTTCATGCTGCTGATAAAGACATACCCAAGACTGGGTAATTTTTAAAGAAAAAGAGGTTTAATGGACTCACAGTTCCATGTGGCTGGGGAGGCCTCACAATCATGGCAGAAGGCAAAAGGCACGTCGGCGGCAGGCAAGAGAGAGAATGGGAACCAAGGAAAAGGGATTTCCCCTTATAAAACCATCGGATCTCGTGAGACTTATTCACGACCACGAGAATAGTATGAGGGAAACCGCTCCCATGATTCAATTAACTTCCACTGGGTCCCTCCCACAACACGTGGTATTTATGGGAGCTACAATTTAAGATGAGATTTTGGTGGAGACACAGCCATAGCATATCACCGAGTCAGATGAAATACTAGAAATATCATGCTTATAAGTTATTCTACTATAACAAATTATACTGATACAATCCTAGAAGTAATATATATGAATTTCTCTAGAACAAGTGCTCAATAGAACCCACTTTTGGAGATGTTAGCTTATTGATAAGATGTTAGCTTATTAACCACAGGAACTGAAATAGAAATGAGACTGAGAACTAGATAAACATTGTTTGCATTTTTGCAAATTTTGACTGGTCATTACTGAATAAAATGGAACCACGTTCAGTGTCTGGGGGTATTAGAGAGTGCTCTATGATCTAAATGTGTTCTCAGCAGAGCTGAAGCAGCCAGACTGCAGTGACAAGGAAAAGGCTTCCTCATTCCATCTTCACT